GTCTACACTGTGTTCCATCCCACAAATTCTAAATATGCAGGCATAATTAGCAACACTATCCTATCCTGGGAGACTGTCTTGGTTACGTCTGTTACATAGGGTACGTCTAGACTACATGCCTCTGTCGCCAGAGGCATGTAGATTAGGCTACCAGACATAGTAAAATGAAGCGGCGATTTAAATAATCGCCGCTTCATTTAAATTTACATGGCTGCCTCGCTGAGCCGACAAACAGCTGATCAGCTGTTTGTCGGCTCAGCGTGAGCCGACAAACAGCTGATCAGCTGTGTGTCGGCTCAGCGCGGCAGCCATGTAAATTTAAATGAAGCGGCGATTATTTAAATCACCGCTTCATTTTACTATGTCTGGTAGCCTAATCTACATGCCTCTGGTGACAGAGGCATGTAGTCTAGACATACCCTAAGTTTGTAGAGCTTCAGAGGGGTAGCCGAGTTAGTCTGTAACTGGAAAAACTTACAAAACAACCAATAGTCTAGCAGCACCTTAAAGACTAATAAAACATGTAGATGGTGGTATGAGCTTTTGTGGGCACAACCCACTTCTTCAGCTGAATGGAGTTATGAAAGTTCCAGTTCCAAAATAAATAGGGGAGGGGGAGGGGAGAAGGAAGTGCAGAGAGACTGACTTAGTGGACCTCATTAGGAGATCATGACTAGGGACGTAAAATCCTGTTTAATTGACTAACCTGTCTCATGTTCAGGTTTACCGGTAAAATGTTAAGGTTAACTGGTTAACCGATTAAATGGGGAGGGAGGTGAATGGAGGAGGGATGGTTTCAGACAAGGGCTGCTCCAGCTGCAGCACCCCCACCCACAGCAGGCCCCCCGGGGTGGAGCAGCCCCTTACCCATGGCGGGTGAGGATGCTGCTCCAGCCCCTACCTGTTAACCGTAACCAGTAAACCTCACCCATTAAGGGGGAGACTTACTGATTAGCCATTAATCATGGCCTACACTTGCAGATTTAACCCTGAGCCATCTGTAATTCAGAGGAATTTGTGAGAGACACATGTTCTCGTGGCTTAAAATTTTACACTGGATTCTTCTTCGTCAATCGTCATTTAAAGCTGAAGGCCAATGTCTTTGGATGAAAAGCACCACTGGTACAGAAAGCAAATGATAGGGCATGTATTGATTGCATTATCTTAATTCATGTTGCATTACCTGTAAGCCACTGAAGTGCTTTAAGTCTGAGTACAGTAAATCAATGGAAAAATCCCCTCTTCTTCTCCATTGAAATTAAGATTGCTACTTTTTCATCCTGTGGCCCACCAGGCCGGTGTGGCATTAATTTTGCATGCTTTCTCTTTGAAGGCGTGGGCTCGGATCACATCAGAAGAATGCTTAGTTGTGACTGATAGTAAGATACACATGCAAAAACAATAACGTAACGAGTGGTAAGTTCAGATGCGCAGTAAAAATGTCAGCGTTCTGTCTAGCTGCAACAAACTTGTGAGCAAAGAGTGCCCTATGGAACCAATCTGACAATAGACCTGGGGAATGGGATGACATTAGCTTTTACTTTCTTTCATAGCAGTAGAATGCAATCATTTGTTTTTGTTCTTGTGCAATGAAATATTCCCTTCTCACTCAAATTCAAATCGGGAAAAAAACATCAAAGTTAATATGAAACAAAATGGAAGGTACTGCAAATATCTGTAGGAAATAGAGAGATACATGACTTTGTAGCCACCCCTCTCATGCCAAAATTGCAACGCCACAGAAGTCAGGAAGCCACGCTGGGCTCTTTGTACCCCCTTGGTTGGGTAGATTGTTTTTCATCTGAAAGCCTTTTTAAAGTTTTCTTCCTGCCTCTGTACTTTTAAGGCATGAAAAGCTAATGTAAGAACATGGAGTGTTATGAAGCATGAAGTTCTATAAATATTTATGCAGAACTACAAAAAAAGTTGACAATTCTTATTTTCTTGACATATTGGGGTCATTTGTTGTTTTTGACCCTTGGAATTGAAGCACCCATGGAGTGGTACCTCTTTGAAATGACTCTTGACTATCGCTAGCTCATCCTGTTGTACTTGCAAGTTACAAGAGAATTTATTTCATGGTCACTTTTGAATATAGACATTAAACTTTACACTGTGTTAAAAAAGGTAGTCCTACACGCTCCCAGTTACGCTTGTTCAATTTGTACAACCTGACAAACTACTAATCATGTAGATCAATATATACAAATGAGCGGCTTAATTGATTTGCAAACATTGAGTCTGAGTTCATTTTTAGAGGAACAGATTTTTTTTATTCTGTGCGCTTGCCTTTGAATGCACAACATTTTAAAACACATTTCATTTTAAATTCGTTTTGGTGCCATATTCTCTGTTCCTTTCTTGTATTGGGCTACAGTGGTTTAAGCCATCTTCATAGTTTTCATATTCTGGCACCAGCCCCACCATCCCCAGTGCAACTGCAATAGCCCCAGGCAACTTTGTTATGCTGACAGCTAAGATTTGTATATGCAATGTTGCCACAGCTGTGTTGGTCCCAGAGTATTGGTGAGAGATGGTGTGTAGGGTCATAGCCTTTGTTGGACCAACTTCAGTTGGAGAGAGAGACAAGCTTTTGAGCTTACACACAGTTTTTCTTCTGGTCTTGGCACTCTGCACCTCTTTAGAGTCCTCGCGCCCTATGTCTAAACCTGAGTTTCACAGATTTCTATGTAGACAGAAGCAGGGTTTGGACTGTAGTCTGAGACGTGGTCTACATCACAGAATAACGTTGGTATAACTACCTCGCGCAGAGGTGTCAATACAGGAGACCCTCGCGATTTGCGGCATCGCTATTCACCATTCCACCTATTTATGGTGGTCTCCCGTTCTGGCCTGGGAGGGAGGTGGTGGGCCTGGGAGCTGAGGGAGTTCCCTGCGGTTGCCTGGCCCTTATGTGAGTTCGGAAGCCACAACTCCCAGTATTCATGAATTTCGCTATTCTTGGTGGTGCCAAGAATGACCTTGCAGGAGGGGGAAGGGTTAACTAATCTAATGAAATGGGATTTTAAATCCCTAGTTAAGGGTGAGACTAACCGGTGAAGCATTCACATCCCTAATGGTAGTAATAGAGAACTTAGTTTGAAGGCCAGAAGACACTTTTAGACCATTAGAGCAGCACTGCTGGAGTTACAAGTAAATGCGCCCATGTCTCTCTCTACCCTCTCACTGTCTTGTCTGTCAGAGTCTGGGAAGAGAACTAGCACCAAACCATTGGGTCAGTTCTCCACCAGGTAGAAAATCTCTCTGACTGGAAAAATCTATAGGGGCTGTTCGTGATTCCTTGACACTGCTGGTGTGATGTCAAAGGGTGAAATATAGGGAAGAATGTAGCCCTTGATCTTTAAAAATAGCCTGTTGTTCGCTGGGTTTCCAGTGTTGCTGTGTCACTAACGCAAATACCCCCCTTGCTCCATTGCATTGGTAAAACTGAGATTTTTAACTGCAGAAAAGCGGAAAGATTCAGGGGTCAGGTTCTCCCATTGCACAGTAGAACTCCAGCTGTGACCGGGAAGCCAGTTAGATACCCTCACTGAAATGTGGTGTTCTGGGTGACTTACCTGCTCAGCCAGATCAATTGGTTCCTGGTAGCGACAACGTAGGGGTATGTACAAAAGAAAAATCCTCAGTAAACTGGGCAGAAACAGAGTAACAGAGCAGGAATAGGGGTGCCTTATGGTGCTAGCTAAAGTCAGGGGGAAGCTTAGAAGCAGAGTCCTGTTGGTTTGCAAAGAAAAAAAGCAGGAAGAGAGGAGTGTGTGTGTTGGGCAGCTAATCTAAGGAGAAATGCACACAGCGCTGAGCAGGTTTGGTATGTTCATAAGAGTTACTTGCACCCTTATTTGGGGAAGTGCACCTCAGAGTTATTCTTCCTGCTGCACTTTTACCTGTGCTTCTTATGTAGCAGTAGTGTCTTCTGATACAGATGGGCCACAAATGCAGCATGAAAATGCTGCACACGCTTGCCAAAGTGAGTAATTTCCTATCTCTGCAATAATAATAATAATAAAAAATATCCAGGAATTTAGCACTTGAGGCAACACGAACTTTCAAACTGAGCTCATTTCACTCTCTTTACTATCTTCACAGTAACATCTGAAAGCTTGTCACACACCTACACTGCCCCCGAACAGCAAACACCCTTTTGCTTCAGAGATACAACTCACCCACCGAGCCTTCACCTCGGTCCTCAAAACCACACACACACACACACACACACACACACACACACACACACACACACACGCTCAACCTTCACTGATCTCAGGTGGTAGAGGGTAGCACTAACAGGTTAGACTTTGTAACTAAGGCTGGGGAGAGCCCCTAGTTGCAATGAATCCTTTGACACCCAGCCCTCAGACTCTCCCCATGGGATGGTGGGTCTTTTGGCTGGAGAAACCAGGAAACACCCGAGCTGGCACTAGCTTCTCCCTGCACTGACTGAGCCTTTGACAGGGACTCAACAATCAATATTTTACTTCCATCGAATGGTTGGTGGAGCATTCCTCACTCTTGGTCACTAGAGAACATAATGCTATATTGTCTGTCTTATCTTGAAAACAAGCCACATGTGAATTGGTCTGAAGGAAAGATTGCCGACCCATGTGTCCTATTTATAGTGCTAATATTGGGAAGGATTCCCATGACTTCAAAATCACTTTCAAACTTGTCCCCTTTCTTTAACGATCCATCACCCCAAATCCACTACTGCTTTGAGAATTACTTTCAAACTGAGACATTTGTGGAGGATGTTTCCAATTTTCGTTGGTCTAGCGTTGTGCATTCTGAGTTCAATTTTCAGCAAGCACACAGCACTGACAGTGAGTCTGTGTCTCACCAGCAGTTTTTAAGCTCAACTCAGAAATATGCAGACTGGTCCCCTTTTTGCAGGTTTCACTGTGGGGAAGGAGAAGAAACTACATTAACTATATGAGGGACGTGGACTTAGGGGTGTGCCGTCTAATTATATGCTTCTTTTACAGGTTGCCTGTCTTATCCGGGTTCCTTCTGAAGTTGTAAAGCAGAGGGCTCAAGTTTCCCCTTCTTCTGGTACCTTTAAAGTTCTTTCCAACACTTTGTATCAAGAGGTAAGATCTGATCAGAGTTTGTGAGCTATCGCCACTTCCAACCATTCTGCAAGTCCAGAGCTGTATGTTCCTAGCAATTTTCCAACACTATCCTTTGGCTAAGAGTTGTTGGCATGTTCCTCTTTATATCTGGGCATCTGCATCTGGAAATGTGGGTGAAATCTGTTAGGTTCTATAATGCCTTATGCAGTAATTTAACTCCTTCAGATCAGTCTTCTGGTTCCACAGCCCCATTAGTAACAGAGCTGTCTGTGCAACAGCTAAGGTTAATTAATTAAAGCATTTAAAGGCCTCCTGGGATTTGTAGTAAGGATGTTAAGAGGTGGGTAATTAGCTAATCATGTAGTCGATACAATTTGTATCGACTACACGATTAGTGGATGAGACAAGGTGCTCTGTTCCGGTTCGTGCTGAGTCCAGGACCAACCCCCACTGTGGTTCTGCAGTTTAAATGTAGCACGCCCAGCTCTTACTATATTTACATTTAAACTGCAGAACCGCCACGGGGGTTGGTCCTGGACCCAGCATGGAGCAAGCCCAGCTTAGTCCTGGCTTGCACTGGGTCCAGGATCGCTGCGGCTCTGCATTTTAAATGTCGTAAGAGCCGCTTGGTTAATACTACATTTAAAATGCAGAGCCACAGTGGGGGTAGGTCCCAGACCTGGCGCGAGCTGGGACTGAGCCAGGCTTGCTCAGTTCTGGCTTGCACCAGGTCCGGCAGCACCTGTCCACAGCCTGAGTTCAGGGCCAGGATTGGCTGCGAACAGAGGCTGTTGCTTCCTCTGTCCCTCCCCACCACACTGCTGCCTCAGCTAGAGATCAAGAGGAGGAACGATAGAACAGCTTTACAAAAGCTTCATAATGTTCCTCATGCTGTGAAATCTGTTTCCAGGCCGTTCCTCTCTCCCTACCACCATTTAAAAAAAAAAAAAGACCACTGACAAAACCAAGGAAAGGCTGAGTGGCTACGTTTAGGCAAAGTCCTTCTTACCTAGTGTGCAGTATTGCATTTGTGGGAGAGGCAGCCGGGGTAACTTTTTATTTTGCAAACGTGTTGAATATTGTTGACCTAAATTTTGAAAAAAGAAAAAAAATAAAAAATCTGGCGGCGTTTGGGTGCTGAACTTGAGACACCTGTATGGAGAGGGTATTAATTTTCTGAGGGCGAGCTCTGTGTACTTCTTATACTCAAGCTCCTTTCAGGTGTCAAGTTAGGCACCCCAAACCAGCAGTTATTAAAAAAAAAATAGCTCTAATTTTCCCACCTTCGTCAACCTTCTGGTGAGTTGGAATGAGCAGATTTTATAGCTGGGCTTGTACATTTTTTAGGCTGCTGCTCTCAGACAGCTCCAATTAGGGGAAAATAACATCTGCTTTTCCTCCTCTCTTACTTTACCATCCCATCCCTGACCCTCAAGATCTACCAGTGTTTGGGAGATTGTCATGGAAGTACTGAAAGGTGAACTTTGGTATATATGCAATTAATAAATTCTGTCATCTGTATACAAATAACACATGCAAAAGTTTTTCCTGAGAGTGACTCTGAACCAGAGCAATTAAGAAACCAGACATATGGCCAGTTTGTCATGTGGGCCCTTTTAACTTGACCATCCTGCTACTCTGCTGATGTATGCATTTGGAAGAGTGGAGGCTTCTAGATTTGCAGCTGCACATGGCAAATAATAAGCAGTTACAGTTT